GGTGCTCTCCTGCTGAATCTCTATATATATGCAGGAAAGGATTTCAATTTTGCAATAACTGATGACATGCTGATTTTTTTAAAGCTTTAATATCATTCTTTTATATAGCTCTTATCTTTTCCTTTTTCATGGTTACTTACCCTTGTGCAGTTTTTCATTCACTTTTAGAAATGCACTTTGTGAACTGGATCTTTTCATATTTGAGCTGCTTTTGCTAGCTGCGATCGTATTTTCCCATTGATTAAACTTATCACAATGTCCCCTCAGCAGACAAGTATTTATTTTAAGAGTTAAACTATTTGGAAGAAGGAACTCTAGATTCACGACATTACATAGATAATAATGGTACAATATATTTTGGTCAAAGTGATAATATCAACACATCAATATAAAAACCTTTCATTTTATCTTTGACAAGATATAAAATTCTTTATTAAGAAATTTATAATTTAGCTAGTTTTCAACTTATGTTACGAGAGGTAGTTCTTAATGCCATTTGGTAATAAGATTTTAACTTGTCATCCAATTAAAACCATCCAAATTTATCATAACTAGTCAAATCCTAATAGTTTAGGACAGTTTAATTCTAATTGATAGCTTTTTCATCATTAGGCAAGGCAAAATTAAAATTCGTTCACTTAATATATAACCTAATACACATAATAGGTTTCTTTTGTGGGTGAATTAATGAAGTTGTGCTTTTAAAAGACAATTTTTCGCAATTTTTATATGTATATCTTTTGAGAGACAATTGTGTTAGAGTCTAGTTTGGAACTTGAGACCATTAACTCACTTGATTTAAGTGTTCGGTGATGCTTAAAAGCCAATTTATATCTATGTATTTGTATATAACACTTTCTTTTTTAAAAAAAATACAATAGATATAGTAACAATATCCTCCTGTCTTGCTCATCAATTGTCTCCCCAGAAATAATCAATTAAAAACAATCAGGAAATTAAATTTTCAAACAGCCTTAATAACCCATTGGTCCAAAATTATTGGAAAATTGAACATTTTAATTAAAAGAATAAAATGTGAAATTTTACAAATATGATTTCTGTGCCTACGCATTTAACGCCGGAAAGATCCAGTTTTTTTTTCCCTCCTGGTCTTGCTAGTCTTTTTTTAAAAACTTCACTTTTGTTTTTTAAAGGACTTAAAAACTATCAGCAAAACTTGCAGAATCAAATGTTTCAAGTTTACAAATTTTGGCTCCGGCCATGTTTGTAACTTGTAAAGAGCTTGCTGAAAACCAATTAATGACATATTTTCGATTCTCGCTGCCAATGTAAAAGCATCCTTTGAATCTCAAGACTTACACTAGTCTGGCCGAGTCTCTGAAATCCAACTTAAACTTTCTTAGAATAATGATTAAAAAAAACCTGTCACATAGTCCTCTATGGAATAGTGGTCTAAATTACTGGATACCTGTTAAGATTAATTGCGTGGCGTATCCTGATGTTTGTTGATCATTATAAACTGATGAATGTTGGTTAGGGTTTTAACAAAGTGAAAAGAACAAAGAGGAGCACAACTCACTCACTCAAGCACTCTGAATCATAACAATTAAACAGTCTAGCATTAACATTTAGCTGTAACGCTCATTTGCATAAAAATCAGAAATTGAGCTGTATAAAAGCTTCAACTAAGTAAAATATATGCTAGATGCATGAAACTTCAACTATTGAGTTGTAAGTGCCATAAACAACCAAACACAATTCAGACAATAATAAATGGACAAAGTTGAGCCGAACAGTTTTGGGTGAAATGTGGTGGCGAAACAACAGAGAATTGCACATTACGTAACTCCCCACAATACAAATTAAGCAAATACATCGAATTCTAGCCCGAATGAAGAAAAGACTGCCGGTCCAACCACTACAATCGCATGAGCAACGTACATGCCAATATTTCCCAGTTCCGTTGAATCAGTATTATTTATCTGAATAACTGAGTTTCCCTTCCACAATCTCATTAGTTGGGAGTAACATCATTGGTAATGTCAACAAGCCCCATACATAATTCTATATGTCATATAAAGTGTTACGAGGTCTGACCCTCCTGAACAATATGAGATGCATTGCAACCAAAATAAGATAAAATGCAAGTTGACTTCACGTGCATATTTTGGCTAAGCTTCAAGTCTTCGAAGCTATTTTGCGAACTGCACTAATGTAGTAGACAGATCTATAGACAAATTACAATGTGCAGGTGTATATATTATGCACTACACACAGCAACAGATACATCACAGAGACAATTTAGGAACGACTCAGGGATTAAGTGACAAGATGGCAATTTTGTACTAGGCCTATCTCATCATTCTCCTAAACTTTTATATACCTTAGGTTTTAATATTTGTCTAATCAAATTCAAACGGAATAAACCTGGTGAAAATAGGTTTAAAATGAAAGCAAGCTCATATGTAACATTATAACAAATCCGCATAAATTTCAATGCAAATTCAGATAAAATCCACAGGTAAATAAAACGCTACATAAATGAAAACCAGAATACAGTGCATTAGATAAGTTATCAAAACTGACGTACAGAAGATAATTTAAAACTTCTTTAAGCACGAACACCCTTAAGGCTAACCATGCGTGTAGATACATCACCCTGGGGTCCCCTCAATGCTGAACCCCCTTGAGTCCTCCCTGAACCTCCATATGAACCATCTTGGTACCGTGCACTTTGATAACCAGCACCTGTTCTTCGATCCCTTGAATAGCCACTACCAGCTGCTTGGCCTAATGCCATTGGCCTTCCACCACCATACCCTGCCCGCCCACTGCTTTGCCTTGGCTGAGAATGGGACAGGTCTTGCCATCTACCACCTGAAGAGGCTGTTCCACTACCAGCAGCAGCAGCAGCATAGTCCTGGCCATCTCTCCGCCTTAGAGGCAAATCCAATCCACCACCACCTATCCTTGCCTCCGTTGCTCTTTCATTACTCTCAGCAAGGATAGATAATTTCTCTGTTAACTGGAATGCCAATGCCTGTAGCCTTGAGTATTCAACATCTTGGAAAATAATGCACCCAGATGGCTGGTCCCAGCTTGCATGAAGCTCCTCATTGATCATCATCCTACTGACAATGCTATGAGTGCGAGACACAGAGAGATCAAAAAATTTTGTGAGCTGATCCACGCTCAAGGATTCATAAGATGAAGAGAAGGTAAACAGGTATGTCCTCAATGCCTCCTCCTTGATTTTGTCCTTCAGCATTTCAAGCACAGTGTCTCGATTTCTCACAAATTTCCATACATCAAGAGACACAATAATGTCAAAAGCCTTCTGGAAGTCTCCCTTGATAAGAAACCTTGTGGCAGCCATAACATGATCTCTGACATTTTCTGGTGGACCAGTGAATGTTTGTTTATCACTTACCTCAAGCAAGCGGCGGAAAGTCTTACTGATGACCTTACGTTTTGCATCATGAATATTTGCTGCCATATTAGGAACTTCCAGCAGCATAGCAGATACAAGATGTACGGCCTCCAGGAGCTCAAGATTGATGTGCATATGATATGGCATCTGACGTCTTCTTTCCAACCTTTCCTGAAAGAGAATTGAAAAGAGTTGAATGTGCTGCAATGTAATTTTTATAATTATAAAACATGCAAAACCCTGATACTGATGATGGAAATGCATTACCAAACTCAAATGACTTGTTTCACCATACAATGAAAGTACAAAAAAATTACACAAATTTAGCAAGGCAAATCAGGCCAATACATAATGCAGTGTTGAAATTATTTCTGATGCTCCACAGGCATAAAATGTAACACAGTGGCACAGGCAGCTAGGAAAAGCAAGCAAATATAAATATATAAAATATTTAAATTTAAATTAGAATAATTAGAATGAGGACAAAAAGAGTAATTTAGTATATATTAATTAATAGCAGTGAAAAGGAAAAAAGAAATGAACAATTCCTTGTTCCTTGTATGTTCCACCTTCCTAGTTTTACATTATGTTCAGATAAGAATTGAAATAGAAAGGAAAAAAAAAGAATATATTATTTAGGCCAAAATAAAAAATGAAAGTGTAAAATTTGTCTTCACTTTTTAAAAAAAATAGAAGTGTGAAAAATAAATCAATTATATGAAAACATTTTCTTGACATAAACATTTTTAATATTCCTTTTTTATTTTGTTATAAAAATTTATTTAATAAAAAAAACTACTCCCTCCTTTATTACCCCACTTGAAGAGGGAATTATTTCTATAGATCCCACTAATTATTTTTCTATTTTATTCAAATAATTAGAATCAGTATTTTCTATTTTGTTTTCAATTTAAGGACTAGTGTAGTTGTTTTCGAAGTGTTATTTTATTTTCTATTTACAACTTGTAGCAGTCTTATTTCAGAAGTCTACCTTGTTGTCCGTTGCTTTTTTATTTTTTGTTATAAAAAATTATTTAATAAAAAAAAAACTATTCCGTCCTCTATTACCCCACTTGAAGAGGGAATTATTTATATAGATCCCACTAATTATTTTTCTACTTCTTTATTCAAATAATTAGAATAAATCAGTATTTTCTATTTTGTTTTCAATTTAAGGACTAGTATAGTTGTTTTCGAAGTGTTATTTTATTTTCTATTTACAACTTTTAACAGTCTTATAATTATTTCATTGTTGTCCGTTGCTTTGACTATATAAAAAAAAAATGACATCGCATTCTCAATTTCTTATCATTTCATATATACAATTTTTCATTTCCCTAGAATGTAAACTTTGTACCCGTCGAATGCCTTTAGTTTTGCCCCCTGAATGCATTTTCTTTCTTTGTTTATCCCCTCGATGAGATGAGTATGTGTCAGGGAAGACTCCATTGGGTTTCAACTAAGGTATTATGGTTTATAACTAATGACCTTTAGTCGTATTGTACCTGGTTTTATGGTAAAACTTAAAAGTGAGCCCCTAGTTTTTGAGTTAGTCAATCTAGTAAAAAAATCAAATACTTCTATTTTTAATTTACCGGTCAGTATTATACACATGGGCAGGTACTGGAAAAATCAATCATTCAAGAAGAGAGTGAGGGCAGTACCTGTTCAGGAGTCTTCTCATGATAACGACCTTGAGACACACCTTGCGCCAGC